ACACACACCCCGCCCCACCCTCCGTGCGCCCCCAAGCTCCGGTGGCCCCGCCTCAAAGCCCGTCCTACAAGAAGTCTACCACAGACCATCGCATCGATCAGCTGGCTGGAGAACCTTCCAGAACCAGTGGCAGGCACACCACACATTCGATGCCACGCAGGTTGTCACGAAGAAACCTGGAGGTCTCAAGCATTATTCCATTCATTCTCGAAAATAAACGCGTTTTGTACATTGAATATGTTATTCATTCTCGGAAATAACGCGTCTTGTACATTGAATTATGTTATGTATTCGTTATCGGAAATAAACGTGTTTTTTAAATTGAATTTTGCAATTCATTCTCTGAAATAAATCATGTCATTTGTTCACATTATATTTTCCATTCATTCTCAATAATAAATGCAATTTATTCATACAATTACTGCTACATATATTCGATTCATTTTCTGAAATAAACATAACTTATTCATACAAATTTATTCTAGGAAATAAACGTGTCTTATTCACTAAATTATTTACTCATTCTCGTTTATAAATGCCATATATTCACACAATAATTTATTTTTTTAATTCTGAGAAATAAAACTCTGTTTATTCATATAATCATTCCATTCATTCCCAGAAATAAACGTCTTGTTTTCACAAATCTATTATTTTTTCGTCCGTTGCCTTACGAAAATACACAATACTGGAAATACATAATTGTAGCCCAGAGAGAACAATGAGTTTGAAAAGATCGTTATATGTTGTGTTCGATGAAACGTTAGAACAGGCTGCCTTTTTAAAGTTTGCCGTCTCCAAGAATTCCTAAGTTGTGACAAATTCACCTCAGACCCACAAATCGGTTCCAAGTATCTTTAGTTTTAGTAGAGTTTTTGCGGAGCTCGCAATTGCATAAGGTCATATGAGCGCCAATCCAAGTATCCGTTGATAAATGTTTGGAGCTTCCTCTCAGCTGTCTTCGTCAAGCTCCGGTTCCTCTCTCTCTCTCTCTCTCTCTCTCTCTCTCT